AAGTTAATCACCCTTGTTAACATCACTGTGTCTATTCTGAGTATGCTTAACCTTAGGCACAATCCAGACCAGATTTTCCCATCCTGGTGCCCTTCAGATATTTTGGATTACAGCTCCTGTCATCTCCAGATGGCCCAGCTGCACCCCTATCTGGACAGAGATAGCCTAATTACTGTTAGGCATACAAGGGGAAAATAATTGGGAGGGAGGAGGGAGGGAGGGAGAAGTTAATTTCAAGTTACAAGCCTGAAGCTAACACACTGTTAGATAGTTTTGTCTTTGCAGATTCTGCCTGTCTAGCAGAAGAGCAACTCCTCAGACATGGTTCTGGTTGTCTTGCCCTTGATAAAGAGTAATGCCTCCCTGCAGCAATCTTTCCCCCTAGATCAGACTTAGAGGCCGAGCAGGTGACAACACCCAGGCCAGGAAGACAGTTCCTACAGCTCTTCCTTCAGACAGCTGTAGTGGCAGTTAAAATACCAGGGGCGGGGCCAATACACAAAGACGTCTCCCTCTCCTCCATATCTGAATTTCTGAAGGGGGCTTGTAAGCCTCTTTTATGCACAGACATATGAAAATACATAGGCAACTTCCTGTTTAAATCTGCTGTATTCACCGCAACTACACAGCCCTGCTTGCCTGGGACCACTTTCCAGACAGTCTGTCAAAACTTATGGGAAGTGAAATGGACATGGTGGCTATAGTTTGTTATTCTTGCAGTCATCTTCAAAGGTATTTTTTCATCCTGATATGGTACAATAGCAAGTGTGGAGTAGTGGTTAAGGTATTGATGGAAGACCCAGGGTTTGAGTCCAGGAGGGAGTGTAAAAAGTCCCAGAGAGACCCTTAACATTTCCTGCCAGGGCTCTGGGTTCACCTTCCACAGCTTCCCCATGCACTGGGTGAGGCGGGCTCCCAGGAAGGGACTGGAATGGATTGCCTTAATATACACTGACGGGAACAAGCAGTTTTATGCCCCCACAGTGAAAGGATGCTTCACTGTCTCAAGGAACCCTTCATGCAAGTTGGAACTGCAGATGAATAACATGAAACCCGACGACACAGCTGTCTATTACTGTGTAAGAAGCTTCCTGCATTACCACAGCAATATATCACCCATCAAAAACCTTAGTGTGGTAGAAACTGGCTTGAATAGGTAAAATGATGTCAGAGGGAACTTTTATATTTACCGTATTTTTCCTTGTATGAAATGCCCCCTTGTATAAGACGACCCCTATTTTGGGGGACTCAAGGAAATGTGGGGAGATTGCCCAGAGTTATTCAGCTTTTTTATGGGGGTATTGCCCAGAGTTGTTGAGCTATTGGGGGGGTTGCCAAATACCACTCACCCAACTAACCACCACTGCCAATCTTACAACTCACCAAAGTTACCCATCATTTGCTCACCAGCCACAAGCAACCGCCAATCACAGATTGTTAAAGGTATTTAGCTGAATCCCTGATCTGGACCTTGTTTAGCTACAAATGAGCTTTCCATCCCAAGAATAAGTTTCAGTGCTTTACTACAGACAGTCTTAAAACTATCTACATATAAACATTGCTAAGAACAAAGTAACACATTGCAATCAAGCAGCAGGCAATAAGGTTCAGTCCTTTAATCACTTTTATAAAGTTCAGGAACCTCCCTCTGATCCCAGAGAGAGACTGCAATATGCTGGGAGCTCCTCGCAACATGCTGGGCTGGCAATCTCTCTTCTGGCTTCCAACAACACAGAGAATCTGACTTCTCAGGTTTCAGCTATCTGCTGACCATAGCTGCTTTACTGTATTCGCTATAATAAAAGCTCCTGCCTAATGTAAACTTCTCATCACAAGCACTTTAAATACAATGCATTCAAACACACATTTTATGTACATTAAAATGTAGTGTCTTTAACATAGATTATTTGGCCAATTGAGGGCAAAGGGATAAAGCTCCTTATCCCAACACACATACCCTAATGGTACATCAGTCAACAGTGCACTGGCTATTAGTGAAAGATGGCTTGCACCAGTAGCAAACTACATGGTTAACATCACATGTAGTTTTTGCCCTACCTCCCACATGGAGCAGTGATCAGATCTGGAAAAACTGTTTGTACTGAGGGAGATCCTCTGAGACGAAACCCTACAGAAGTAATTATCTTCCCCTGAAATTATCTTAAATGCACTCCCTGTTCAAAGGAGAAGCTTCTAGAAAAGCAACCAGGAAACAAGTGTGAAAGTTATTTACTTATAACCTACCTCACTGTGTGCCATTATGACCGGGGGCGAGAGGCACATGAGGTTTGGTCAGTTTGGGCTCTGATAATCTCCCCCTTTCCTTGTATATTTCTGGCTTGAAATCAATGGACATTTACTGGCACATTCAAGGCATGTTTTGCTAGCCTAACTGATATTAAAGATAAGGCTGATACACTTAGATATATTTATATATTTAATTAAGGATCTTGGCTGACTATAGCTTTTTCAAACTTTCTGATGCCAACAATGGCATTGTAGATGGACAAAGAAGGACCTGCTCTGGTTTGCCATCAGATGGTGTGGTTAGTGCTTTTGCTTCTGCTACCTCCTCTAGCATGCAAAGCAAATGCTATGAAGTGCCGTCCAACTGATCCCCTCCCTGTTCCCCATGAGTGGTACCAATCAGGAGACCTCCTCATCGGTGGGATTTCCTCTCAGATCATTTACGTTTTCAACCCAGTTTCCTTCAAGGTACACCCTTCACAAGAGCTGAAATCTGATGTCCCGCTGTAAGGATCCCCTCCTTCCTGCGTCATGTGAGCTTTGAAACCTCAGCATTTGTAATGCAAGGAAAGAGAATTTTGGTGTGGAGTGTCCACATCATCACATCTCTTTCTCATGCTGTGTGCATGTGTGAAGAAGAAGCTAGTAGTTAACAATTGCATAGGAAGCTGTCTAAGTAAACCACTGGTCCATCTACCTCAGTATTGTCTACAAGGACCAGCAGTAGCTTTCCAGGGTTTCAGGCAATTCTGATTATGCATACAGTAGGCCAAAATACACATTAAAATACACATGCTAATGAAAACGGCATAAAAATATATTGTGTTAGGGGAAATTGGTTTGTAAAATGTGTGCGTTCAGGGAAATTGCATAAAAGATTTTGTACATTTGGATAAATTTGCATCAAAATGCTGATGAATTGTCTTGATGGCTTAAAAAAACCAACCCATTGCAGACAGATGTGAAAATGTAGAGAAATGTGTTAAAACTAGAAGAAGGAGAAACTGAGAGAAACCAAAATTAACAGCTTCATCCATCCTTATGAGTTGATTATCAACTAAACCATTGCAGAAAGCCTACAGTTGTTAAGAGGGCAGGTGGACTGGATCTAAGGCAGGTGAGGTCAGATTGATTGTGGGGGCAGACTGAAGCCATGGGATGGACTGGGAGAACTGTGCATAAGCCTTATTTTTATGCACATCTTATCCTAGTAAATGCATGTTTGTATATATTACATTAAGGACTGCGGGTGGCGCTGTGGGTTAAACCACAGAGCCTAGGACTTGCCAATCATAAGGTCGGCGGTTCAAATCCCCATGACGGGGTGAGCTCCCGTTGCTCGGTCCCTGCTCCTGCCAACCTAGCAGTTCGAAAGCACGTCAAAGTGCAAGCAGATAAACAGGTACCACTCCGGGGGGAAGGTAAACGGCGTTTCCGTGCGCTGCTCTGGTTCGCCAGAAGCGGCTTAGTCATGCTGGCCACATGACCCGGAAGCTGTATGCCGCCTCCCTTGGCCAATAAAGCGAGATGAGCGCCGCAACCCCAGAGTCGGTCACAACTGGACCTAATGGTCGGGGTCCCTTTACCTTTACCTATATATTACATTGCAAAATTCAGAGAGGTGTGAATTTTAGCAGCATTTTGGTTTGCATATTGTTTCAGATAGTGCAAATAAAGTAAGTTTGCCCTTCCCTAGTCGTGATGCTTGTAGGAGTTTGTTTCAAAAATAGATTGTCTTATTTAAAGCCAATGTTAGCCAAGCTTGCAACATCTGCTTCCAAATAAGCAGGTCTCTCTGTTGGCAGTGTGATAACAAAATTCTACCAGCATGTCCTCGCCTTGGCATTTGCTGTGAAAGAAATTAATGAAAATCCCAGAATCTTGCCGAATGCTACATTGGGGTTCCACATCAGTGACAGCTACTACGATGCACAGAGAACTTACCGCACCACTCTGGACCTGCTCTTCAAATCACAGAAATTTGTGCCCAACTACAAATGTGGCAGACAGAAAAACCTCATGACCATCATAGGCGGGCTTGGCTCTGATATCTCATACCGCATGGCAGATATCTTGGATAGCTATAAGATTCCACAGGTAAGCTCTGTGCATGGGGATTTACGGAAATTGCAATCGCTTCATGCTATTCTGGAAGTGGTTTTTGTTGTTCAGAAAGTCAGGAAAGCTACACTTAATTTGCCTGATATTCAAAAGTGAAATGAGACTTAGCCCAAGGAAGAGAACAGGATGGGGAAATATATTTATTTATGTAATGCAATTCGTATATTTATTTAATGCAGTTTGTATGCTTGCTCATAAATATCTCAATGCAGTTTACATAAAATATACATTAGAATTAATGATTTAAAAAGTTAGTTGATAAAAAAAACAAAGTATGCATAAAATCAGTTATTATAAACATATTTACATATTAAAATACATATCTGGGTAATATACAGTCAATAATTTCTACCAGATATCTTTCCAATGACTAGTTCAAAAATATTACATTTTCACAGGCTGAGAAAATTCAGACAAAATACGTCTTTAAAATTCAGGTTTTCTGAATTCATATCAGGTTTAGCTGGAAAAATACTCATTGCCCAGACTGAAAGCCCTCATATGCAGATTCATTCAGGCATTCCTCCTAAAAAAATCTCTTAAATCGCTACATTTTATTTCAGCTCACTTATGGCTCATTTGCCCCAGAGGAGAGTTATGCAATGCAGTCCCACTCCTTCTACAATATGGTCCCCAACGAAGCCTGCCAGTACATTGGGATTGTCCGCTTACTTCAGCATTTCAGATGGACATGGGTTGGGTTCTTCACTGTCAACGATGAGAGTGGAGAGCGTTTCTTGCAGACCCTGGAGCCATTGCTTTCCCAGCATGGAATCTGTTCAGCTTTCACAGAAAGGATTACACAACAAGCCCGGTTAAATGATATGTTTGAAATTAACAACCAGGTCCAGAGTATTTATAAACCTTTCACATTTAACAAAGTCAACACATTTGTTCTCTATGGAGAAACACTGTCCATTATGTGGCTGAGCTATTTTATTCTTCTGGGAAATCCTGAACGTAATAATGACACATCTTACGAAAAGGTGTGGATTCTGACAGCCCAGATAGATTTTGCATTAACTAGCCTTCAAAGAGGCTCAGATCTGCAAGTGTTCCAAGGGGCTATTTCATTCACAATTCATTCACATGAACCACCCGCATTCAAGACATTCCTTCAGACTATAGAGCCTTGCTGGGCAGAAGGAGATGGTTTTATCAAAGATATATGGGAGCAAGTCTTTGACTGCTCAGTTCATTGTCCAAAAGAGGTCGATGAACCATGTACTGGAGAGGCAAGGCTGGAGAGCCTTCCTGCGCCTCTTTTTGAAATGCGCATGACTGGTCATAGCTACAGCATCTATAATGCTGTCTCTGCTGCTGCACATGCACTGCATGCCATGGACTCATCTACACCCAAGCACAGAGCAGCTGTGGAGGCTGAAAGAGTTGTACTCCACCCTTGGCAGGTAATGTCTACACTATATAACTGTATTTTTATTTGCCATGAAAAAGCTAATACAGTATGCCTTTTTCCTAATGGTAAAATTATGTTAGACACACCAACACATTGATGGAAATTTGTGGGTTCACATTTTCTCCTTTTCTTGGGGCTTGGAGAAGGGAAGCCGTAACTTTTGAGCATCCCTCACTGAAAAAAATAGCTTCATTTTCAGGCTAGGTCTTGCTGCATGACAAGAGAAGGTGTTTGCCAAACTGAGTTATCCTGTTGGGTGACCTTTATGGAAGACGGGACAAGGGGAGTGTGACTTTGCTCCTGCTGCTTGACCTTTCTACAGCTTTTGATACCATTGACCAGGGCCAGCTACATGGAATGGGAACTGGGGGCATTTGGTTACTGGTCCTATCTAGAGAGTAGAATTGCATGAGTGTTTTGTGGGGCCCAGGCATTTAAGCTGGGGGGGGCATGGGGCACTGTTTTATCCTCAATGGTATTGAGATTGGAGGCAAGATGCTATCAGTATGCTGATGATACTGAACTCTAATTCTCCATGACATGGATAAGGAGAGGTCATGAGAGCCCTGTGGTGGGATGGGAAAATAACCTAAGAAGGATGCAATGTGGGTGAGTGGCTACCAGTTGCCATATTTCCAAAATTGAAAATCCAGACAGAAAAGTTGTTAAGGTGGTTATTTTGTTACGCTTGTTGAGTTTTTTTTGCGGTGGGCAAAAGCTCAAAGAAAAATGAAGTTCTAGAATGATTTCCTATGAAAAACATGATGCACAGAGCGAGCATAAGAGAAGAGGAGAGCCCCACACTGCCCTGCCCACGCCCCAGCACTTACCCAATGTAGGCGTGGCTGGGAATGGTTCTCTTCCCTTCTCCAAGTGCACTGCCCTTTTAAGTGATGTCTGTGCTGGCATCTGGCAGCCCTAGGCTACCCTCTATGGGAAATTGGTTGATTGCCTGCCCTTGATGGGGTTACAATCCCCCCGAATGAGCAGGTATGCAGTCAGAGGCGATGAGTGTCTGGATCCAGCTTTGTCTCTGGAGACCCAGATACCTCAGTGGGTAGAAGCACCTTTTACCAACTGGAACTGGTGCATCAGCTAAGACTGTGCCTAGACCAGGAGAGCTTCAGCACACTTGTTCAGGCATTGGTTACTTCAAGATTAGGTTACTTCAATGCACTGTATGTAGGGCATCTCTTGCTTTTCTCTGGGAAACTGTGGTTGTAAAAGAAGTGAGACCCTATCAGGACATAACATAACATAACATTTGGCAGGTACCATCACTTTGCTAACTATGGCACCTGCTTAAAACAATTTTGCTAAGGCACACCTATCCAGACCCATTCAATTCATTGGGAATTTTCATGAACTTATGAATTCAATGTCATGAATTTCCAGCGATGCATGTCTAACTCTGGATCCAGCCTATTATTTTGCTCTCCCCTTGTTTCTTTTTCTCTTTCAACTAGCTCCACCTGATTCTTCAAGACATAACATTTAACAACTCAGCTCAAGAAACAGTGTCCTTTAATGACAAAAGAGAAATGGAAGGCGGATTTGACATCATGAGCATAGCCACTTTCCCAAACAACTCCTTCCAGAGAGTGAAAGTCGGAAGTGTGGAGCTCAGAGCTCCTGAAGGAGAAGAACTAATCCTTGATGAGGATTTAATTGTGTGGCCCAGTGTATTTAACCAAGTATGGGTGCTAGGATATTGATTTAAGACCTAAGAATTCTCTCTTCTGTATCAGTTGACGATGAATGATCTGTCTCTATAATAAAGACAATACCACCTATTGCATTAAGAAAAACAAAGAGAGCTGTAACCTTAAAGTGCCTAACAGTGGGAAATGTGCAATATTCTGTTCAAGTGAAATAAAAAATAATATCCTCTATAACAATAAACTTTGATAGGGGATTTTGAACCAGTTTTTTTTTTTTTTTTTTACAAAAGAAAATGAGACACCAATAGACACACCTCTTCCTATGGAATGAGACACTGGATTAAGTTATTAAAATAACTTCTCTGGTACCCACATTTTGGAGAAGGGCCCTCAGCTAGAGTTGTAAGAAAATACTGATGAAAATTAAAACAGAAGTGGAAATAACCAATCTGGACTAATTTATCCTACATCCAAATGGAAAATAATCCAGGCTTTTATAATATTTGTTTTGTTTTGTTTTCTACTCGGAAGCAATATGTGATTGATTACTTCTGCCCCACTCCATTTAGATTGTGTGTGCCTTGCACTGAAATTAATGGTGTGGAATTAAAAGTGTTTACTTATGTTAAATTCGTAACTAGCGTCAATAATTATGTGAATTACATTAAACAGTGGACAGTGTGACAAATAACATGGTGTTTTGTGGAAACCAAACTGCAGTGGAATGGAAATAGTTCCGATTGTGAGATAGGATAGAAAGGAATGGAAATGACTGCCTTATTGCATCCCTTGCCATAGTTTGGTAACAGAGAATCTGCTTTGCATGCAGGTCCCAGGTTAAATTGCTTGCAATTCCAGGTAGGGCCAGGAGATGTCCCTGTCTCAAATCTTGGAGAGCTGTTGCCTGTCACTGTGAACAATACAAAGCTGGAGGAACCAAGGGTTTGACTCAGTATTTAGCAACTTCCTATGCCCCTATGTCAGCCAAGCAATAGATGGCAAAAACAATATATTCTGGAAAGCATTAGCAGGAGATGGGCAGGTGTATGCATGAATGTGTGATGTTCCATTTAAGTTCATTATTCCATGTCAACAGTTTGCTTATTTACTTATTTTGTACGTCAGCTTATGAGCAACAAAACATTTCTTCTTTCTTCTACCCTAAACTCCAATGATGTGTACTGAAAGGTGCCACCCCTTTCTGTGTGTAGTAACTCTTGCCGCCCTGGTTATCAGAAGAAAAAGAGGGAAAAGGAGAAATTTTGCTGCTATGATTGTGTTCCATGTCCAGAAGGGAAGATTTCAAACCAGAAGGGTAGGTGATGTATTGCACTTATCCCCTCACTTAATTTTCGTTCAAGCAGCAAATAATCATTTGCCCCTGCAGCAATAATGAAGAAACGAGACATGGGGTAATAGACAACTTAATTCACTGGCAAGATATATAATAAGCACAGGAATGCTAGGCTCCAATCATTCATAACCTTGGCTATTCTAGCCAGACTGATGGGAAGTGTAGACCAAAGGCTTCTGGAAGGCACTACCCATAATGTATGTGAGCAGCAGCTTCCATCTTGCTTCCACACATAAGGTTTATTTTATTTATATCTTAAATATTTTTATATTCCACCATTCCTCTCTTCTGGAATTTCTCTCTACAATAAAATACAGTAAAATAGCAGTGATAAATATCTGCAGTAACAAACTCCGAAGCCAAAATGTACTCCTCATCAGATGTGAATTCCTATTGAAATGAACCTTTCTTCTTCTTCTTTTTCCAGACATGATTAACTGTGTGAACTGTCCAGATTATCAGTATCCAAGCAACAACCAAGATCACTGCATCCCCAAAACAATCAGCTATCTTTCTTATGAAGAACCTTTAGGGATCAGTTTAACGTCAGTTACTGTTTCTTTTTCACTTATCACAGCTTTGGCACTAATAACTTTTATTAAGCACAGAGATACCCCCATAGTCAAAGCCAACAATAGGGACCTCACCTATACTCTCCTCATATCCCTTCTGTGCTGCTTCCTCTCTTCTTTGCTCTTCCTTGGCCAACCTGGGAAAGTGACCTGCCTTCTCAGACAACCCACTTTTGGCATCATTTTCTCAGTGGCTGTTTCTTGTGTGTTGGCCAAAACCATGACAGTGGTTGTTGCTTTCATGGCCACCAGGCCAGGGTCCAGCATGAGGAAGTGGGTAGGAAAAAGATTGACCAACACCATTGTGTTTTCCTGCTCCCACATTCAAGTTGGTATTTGTGCCATGTGGTTGTCTACCACTCCTTCCTTTCCAGATTTGGACACGCAGTCACTGACTCAAGAGATCATATCAGAATGTAATGAAGGCTCTGTCACCATGTTTTATCTTGTCCTGGGCTACATGGGACTTCTAGCCATCATCAGCTTCACTGTGGCATTCCTGGCTAGGAAGCTGCCAGACACTTTTAATGAAGCCAAGTTCATCACCTTCAGCATGTTGATGTTTTGCAGTGTTTGGTTGTCGTTTGTTCCAACCTACCTGAGCACTAAGGGGAAATATATGGTGGCTGTGGAGATCTTCTCCATCTTGGCCTCCAGTGCTGGTTTGTTGGGTTGTATTTTTTCCCCAAAATGTTACATTATTTTGCTGAGGCCTGAGCTGAACAGCAAAGAACAGCTAATGAGGAGACAAAGTTAAGAATTATGTTGCAGTTCCCTTCACGATTTCTTGGGGTAACTCTTCTGGAACACAATGAAGCTTTTTTTCTGAGTAGACATTTGACTGCACTTTAGCTGTCATGTTAGAATACTAGAATTGTAGAGTTGGAAGTCCACTAGAAGTCCATTCCTCTGCAATACAGGAATCTCAGCTAAAGCATCCATGACAGATGGCCATCCAATCTTCTTAAAAACCTCCAAGGAAGGAGAGTTTGCCACCTTCCGAGGGAGTCATTTCACAGTCAAACTGCCCTTACTGTCAGAAAATTCTTCCTAAGGTTTAATTGTAATCTCAGCTTGCCCCATTTTATGCCCTTTTAAAATGTGGGGTTTGGGGAGGGTTGGGTTGTTTTTATTTTGATTATGTATTTTGTAGTTTTATGTTTTGATTTTATTCTGTGAATCACCTTGAGACCTCTGGGTATAGGGTGGTATATAAATTCAAGAAATAATAAAATAATCTTCCATATGGCAGCCCTTTATATAAGTGCAGATACCTATAATATCTCCTCCTAGTCTGTTCTTTTCCAGGCTAAGCATACTCAGCTGCCTCAAGCATTTCTCTTAAGGCTTGGTTTCCAGATCATCTTGGTCATTCCACTCCACACACATTGCAGGCAGCTTCTCAAATTTGTCTGCTCCATTCACATAATGCTTGAGTTCATTATCCTGCAAGAGAGTCACACTGCTCACTTATCCCAGAATGAAGACATTAGAGAAATAGAATTATTATTATTATTACCTGTGTAATACCACACAGGAACCATGAATGTATGAAGCAATTGCATTCCTGAAATTAAGATAAATTACCACAGAGCCTAGGGCTTACCAATCAGAAGGTCGGCAGTTCGAATCCCCGCGACGGGGTGAGCTCCTGTTGCTCGGTCCCAGCTCCTGCCAACCTAGCAGTTCGAAAGCATGAAATGCAAGTAGATAAATAGGTACCGCTCTGGCGGGAAGGTAAACGCCATTTCCGTGTGCTGCTCTGGTTCGCCAGAAGCGGCTTAGTCATGCTGGCCACATGACCCAGAAGCTGTACGCCGGCTCCCTCGGCCAGTAAAGTGAGATGAGCCCCACAACCCCAGAGTCATCCGTGACTGGACCTAATGGTCAGGGGTCCCTTTACCTTTACTTACTACAGCATTTTACAGCAATACATGCAGCTGAACTACACACAGTCTTTCCTATCCTAAGTAAATAAATATTAAGCTTAGATTACAAGTTTCTGGGTTGTGTCCAATACTAATCCACTCAGAGCAGAGCTGTTGATGTTAATGGATATGACTAACTTAGGTTTATTGATTTCAGCGGGTCTACTCTGAGTAGAACTAACTTTAGATGCAAACATTGTTCATCTCTCTGGTAGTGTCTATCTAGTTCTTAAAAAAAAGCAAAAAACCATAGACTCATGTGTTTTTGTATGGAGGTGTATCACTGTGGCTTCCAGAATAACAAAGAAAAAAGCATGTTCTGAAAGACAGTGAAGAAGGAGGCAGCAGCAGCATCCATGGCTGGAGAAAACCCAGGGTGTTCCCAAGGTTCTTTTGTTAGTTCTTTGTGATATTCTTTGGAATGCTGCTCTAAACCACTGCTAACTGCCACTGCCTGGGGGATACATACCATCTCTTGGGTGCAAAGACTGCATTCAGGTCAGTTTCACAAAGATGGAGCTGATTTCCCTCATCAATCACTTTTCCCTTTTGGACTGCTACTTCAACTTGTACACTACTCTAGCCCTGGCTCTATTCATCAGCCTCTTCCAAATGATCCAATGTAGCACCTTTGCATAGTACAAGAGACTTGACCAAGCATAGAGAAGCATCTTGTCCTTTTCAGTCTTACCTGAAGTCACTGAGAATCCCCACTCCCTGGAGGAACAGCTGGGCAGTTGGTTCCCCTTTGAGACTGGCACACCAATGGTGAGTTTCAGTATCCCCTTTGTTCATGTCTGAATTTGACTCAGCCCCCACCACCACCACCACATTTGGTTTTCTCAACTTACAACAGCAATATGTACTTACAAATTTATTTAAGAGATTTCCTACCTTTCTTTCAGCACAAAGTCAGGGCAGGTTACAGCCATGTAATCAAATAATTTGTTGTTTAGTCGTTTAGTCGTGTCCGACTCTTCGTGACCCCATGGACCAGAGCACTCCAGGCACTCCTGTCTTCCACTGACTAATCAAATAATAGCAAAATCCAAAATAAAACAATTATATGACAATACAGATGATCTCACAGATATGGTGCAGAAAATGAGAAAATGATCATTCATGGGGATGGATTTTCATGCTTTAGGGAAGAAAGCACCAGTGTGGTGCCATGATCATAATGAAAATGGCATTTTAACAGTCTCTGTTAAACTTTGATATTGAATGAATTTCTAAGTGAGATGGGAAGAATAAAAAATGACCTGAGAGTATTGCATGCTTTGGCCACCAGGAGGAAGTAGCCTTATAAAGATCCAGACTGTTGGTCCATCCAGCTTGGCATACTCGAAGCAGACCAGTGGCAGCTCTCCAGGGGTTCAGACAGGGATTTTTCTTGGTCCTACTTAGAGATACCCTGATGAAACTTGGAACATGCTTCTCTCTGCCTGATGGATCTGTTCCCTGTTTGGTAAGGTGGTATTTCCAACTGGTTGTTCTTCCTTTTGAATAACTTTGCTGCCTCCTCTCTTCCTAGAAGGAACATGTGGAACACAGAAGTCATCTCCAAGCAGCTGTTGGCAAAGAAGAAGGTAAGCCATTGAGACAGGAACCAGCTCATCCCGGTGATTTGAGAGAGAGAGAGAGAGCGTAAAAACTACTGCTGACATTTGATAATTCACATGGTCTTTTCTTAGCATCTGTGAAAGTGTACATACACACCCTTGTCATTTGTTGCTTGGGTTTCTTTAATAAGATAACTGCAAGATAATAAAACCCAAATTAAAAATCTTAAACAACAGCAACCTTATTTAAAACTGAAATACACCCAGGAGAACTTGTAGAGGATCGCCTAACAAAAGTACTTAGAGTTGAGTTAGTAAACGCAATCTAGAATGCTTTCAATGCCCATTACTCCTAACCATTGGACATGCTTGCTAGGGTTGATGGGCACTGGAGTCCAACAACATTTGGAAGGCCACAGGTTCACCACTGCTGCTCTGAAATAAAATCAGTGCCTCTTGGGTCTCCAAATTGGTATATATGTTTTCTAATACTTCTAATAAATATATAAATGTGCCATGAGTGCTGACAGGGAAGTATCAGGCCCCTGCAGGTCAAAAAGAGACAGGACGCTTGGAATGCAACTGGCTTTTTATTCACAGAAAGTAACAAGTGAAGTCTTCCCTGCTCAACTCCTTCAGCTTGAGAAGTTGCAGGAAACTGAGCTTCGGATCTGCCTTTCCCCTCTACAGCTCTTCCCAACAGATGGGGACTGCAATGTGGCAGTGAGCTCCTCCTCTGCTTCTGCCAGACTCATTGCTCGACAACATGTAGGACACTCCAAGAGGGGGTGTGAGAGGAGGAGAACCAGCAAGACTGGAATTGTCCTGCTGTGGAATGGTCAGTGTACCCTCCATCCCTTCTCGCCTCCCCTCTTTCTCATTTTGCTTTGAATGTGCTTTATTTCTAAGTTTAAATTTCCTCTTCACATTTCACAAATATTTTCAACAGGAACAAAAACAAACACTTTACAAATCCAATGTACTTTCCTCTTGACTTCCTTCCCCTCCTTTCTAGTTTTATTTATTTTTATTACTGCATATCCAATTCATATCTATTTACTAATTTCCCCTTATGTTCTCCCTAGCTTTCTCTTACTGCACTTGCTTATGTCAGTCCTGATAATTTTTTGATTTCTTTACAATGTATCTTCAGATGGTCAATAATTCCCCCCAATCCATTTTAAAAAGTCTTTATTCTGGGTTTCTTGTTCTTCTGGTAAGTTTCACCATGTCTGTGTACTCCATTAGTTTTAATTGCCAACCTTCATTTGTTAGAACTGTTTCTTCCTTCCATTTTTGGGCATAAATTATGGAAGGGCCTTCTTCCTCTGACCCGCTCCCTCCCTTGATTACTCCACCCTCCTGCTTCTAGCACCTCCCACCACCAGGACCCAGGGTCTAAGTCCTCGTCTTCTCTGTCTTCCCTGGGCAGCTCCTGGGTGGGAGGCTCCTGCCACCAGTGGCGGAACTTCATGCTCTGGCACCGGGGGGTGGAGAGCAGGCAGGAGCAGGGGCAGGGCTGGTGCGTGTCCTGGGGGTGCCCAGCGCAGGCAGGGGGGCAGCCACAATGGCACCCTACTGGGATTGCGCTGCCAGGGGTGGTGCCCCCCCGCACACCTCTTCCTCCGCCAGTGCCTGCCACTCCTCCTCATCCAGCCAGTTCCTGACAAAATATAATTGTCTCTATACCAATTGGTTCCATACCATCCTGGAGGTGAAGGAAAGGTCACCAGTGCCTTCATTTGTCTTACAGGTACCAAACACCAGGAGATAGACCCACAAAATGGAGGCAGTTGCCATTCCTCCATCCGCAGATTGCTATGTGACAACGTGACCTGTGCCATATGTGACAGGGCAGCCAAGGAGGCTGAGGAAGTGCTGCGTGTCTATGCATCAAAACCTGGGCTTCCTGCTTTGCAAATGCCATCACTTCCCGTTGCCTCTTATGTGGGGAGCTGCAGCCTACCAGCCATTTCTGCTCAAAGAGATGACACAATTTTTCCATGGAGCAGCAGTAAACCTGCCACAAACTGTGGCCATCCAGAATTGGGCCCAGAAACAACACCTTCATCCAGAAAGGAGCAACACATTCCCAAAGGCAAGAGGCAGAAGGAGAAGCCACTCCATTCTGCTCAGCAAGATGTTCCCATCTCCAGGGAGAATGACATAAGTCCCAGCTGTTCTGACAGCCATTCCATGTTTAGTATAAATGAATGTTATGACAGCTCTGAGGACAGCAGTGGGGAAATGAGTGATCCCTTTTGCTTCTCTTCTAGCACATCATCAGAGCAGTCTTTCAATAGTTGGGAAGATTACAGTCCCCTTTCTGACCTGTCCGAGTTATCAAATTTCAGCAAAAAGAGCCACATGCCTTTGAGGCAAAAGAAAAATGAAGGGTCCTCTCTTAATGAGAGGAAGAACCACCAGGGCATGAGATTCCACCATACAGGAACAAGGCATTTCCCCAGTTCTTTATCTGTGATCTCCCAAGCAAATATGAAGTCTCCTAGGATTGAATTTGCTACCGAGGACACTCCCTTTGTGGCTAAGGCTGTGAGAAAGACTTTGGAGTGGCATTTGGTTGTGAAAAGTATTCAACACAAATTGGGTCTTCCATCAGTCATCACCAGGTCACTCAGGGCCTTTTTGCCTCTTGGTATGGATTTCACTTGCCCGTACCGTCCAAAGAGGGAGCTTACTGTGTTGATGAGGCCTCGGCTTCTTCCTTTCATGAGTGGGGCAAAGAGGAGGACACTAGAGAAACACATGAAAAAAATGATTCACATGCAATGTCGGGTGTTGCCAAAGCAAGTCCAAGAGGCCCTCAAGCACATGAAGCTAGATTATCACCTCACCACAGATATAGCATCATCTGCAAACAGGAAAGGAGGCCGAGGAGGAGTCGTCAAGGGTGAGAGGGAAGGGAAACTTCATAGGCATGTTCTACATTTGGAATCCACAGCCAGGGAAACAGCCCTCAAATCTCCCCCTCCTTCCAAAGCAAACCCCCAGACTACAACTGGGAAGAAGTCATTTGAGGCCAGACATGAGATGCTACTTCAGTCGCAGCAAAATGTTGCGTTTGTCCAAGCAAGGACAACTTTTCTTCCTGCTAAGGAGGAGCAGTGTTTGGATTCCCATGTGCTTAAAAAGAAGGTGCAGCACCCATGGGACCAGCCCATACTGATACAAGAGATCCCATTCATTGAGCAGGAGACTTGGGAGGATCTGGAATGGCACGTGAGAAAAAAGAGGTTGCAGCATGATTGGGGGTTGCCAAGCCTTGTCCAGAGATCTCTCCATTCTGTTTTCCCAATTGTCCCCCAATCACAGCAGCACCGGACATTGCAGCACATGGAGGTGAATGTTCTTCTGGCTGAGCTCTCCTTCCTTAGTGATGCCATCATCCAAGAACTAGAGCAGAACCTGCTGAAAAGAATCATGCTTCACCGATGGCACTTACCCCCAAGGGTCCTTGAGTCCCTCAGGCTACTTTCCCCAGAGATGGTGACTGTTGCAGGGAGACAGGATGGAACTAGGATAGGGAGGAGGACAATGCCAAGTCAGCCTTTGATGTACCCCACACTTCAGTCTGAAGCAACAGAGAATAAGATACTCCACTTGGATGAAAAATGGCTGGATGGTTCCCCAACCTTGGCCATGAGTGCAATGAAGCCCAAACTGCTGCCCGCGTTTCCTAGAGCTAGAGAAGTTGCTGCTGAGTTCTTGGAAGTGAGGACAGAGTTTCTCTATGCTCAGGTCAGAGAGAATCTGGAACTGCACATTAGAAAAAAGAAGCTGCAACATGAATGGGGCTTGCCTAGTCTTATTCAGAAATCCTTGCATGGCTTCAAGTCACAGGCTCCCCCACTGCCCAGTCTCCAAAGGACAAAAGCCCATGTCTACATTCTACTACAGAAACCATCATTCCTTCCCCAAAGCACCTACAGTCAGTTGGATTTCCACATTCAAAGGATGAAGCTACAGAGACAATGGAAGTTGCCTAAGAGGGTTTTGGAATCTATCAAGCTTTTCCGCCCTGTGTTTGGGACAGGTCCCTTGGAACCACAAATTACAGAGTACCAAAATAAAAGCTGTGACTCTCTGGGCAGATTCTCCTCTCCCATCCCAGTAGCCAGAGAAGAGCTGGTAGAGGCAAGGCAGGCAACATTTGTGGGTGAGAACATCTTCACACATGGACCCAAGGCTTACAGGGCACAGCAAATGGTCAGCCCACACCAGGATATGGAGGCAGGAGAAGTCCCTGAGGGAGCTTTTTCTGAATCATCAGCTGCCTCTACGGATCACCATAGCCTCAGGAGAAAGTCCACAGAAACTGATCTCCAGCCCATGGGAAGCTTCAAGATCACTCTTGAAGACTCTCTCCAGAAGTTTGCCCCTCTTTATAGCCAAGTGAAGCCCAGAAGCACATTTCTGCCCTTTCTGGAGGGTGAAGCAGTGGATAAGGGGGAGCTGAACACCAGGCACGAGTTTCCAGAGCACCAACCTAGTCAACAGAGTGAAATCTTGAATAGGAAATATGCCATAGCCAGGGCAGCAGTGGAAGACCGCTACTTCTACTGCCCTTGCTATTGGATAACATACAAGCACCCAGGATTGAGTACTGTACACCAAGAAGTAAGCAACAGAAAAACATTTGGGTTGATGCCTGCCTCCCCACAGTCAGCTCAAGTTCTTTCTATGCTGAAGCCCCATAGTTTGGACAAGATGAACCACCACTTGGCCAAGAAGCACAGGGAGATGCAGTTGAGAGATATTCCAAACGTTGCCACCTCATCTTCAACAAGGGAACATTTCACTTTCTTGGGGGAGTTGCCCAGCATGCACTTGGAACCTTTGGCTACAGTGTTCCAGGAAAGATGCTCCCCATCCCAAATCAGCCAAGTGAAGATTGGGGTCCAGGAGCTGGAGCCCCCAATATTCCAGAATGAAGCAAGGGAGTTGCTTATGACTAGATCCCCACAGCCGATATTTGCAGACACTGCACACAAACCCTCTTCAGAGACATCAGCAACCCGTGCTTCAAATATAAGACTTCCTAAACATTCAAATATGAATCTTTTGGAAGACCATCTCAAGGAAAAAAATATGGAGGCTAAATTCCAATTGACGGAAGTATTCCAGGAGCCAGTGCCAACATTTCTTACAAAGGAAGGCTGCGATCTTCTGGAACTTCACATACAGCGCAAAAGACTCCAGCATGAGTGGGGGCTGCCATCTCTTGTGCAGAAATCTTTGCATGCCTTTGTCCCTCTTCCACCTGAGCTACAGAGGAGTAAAAAAGTAGGAGCATCAACACATGTCACTGTTGAGAAACTGGGATATCAAGAGAAAGTGACTGCCCATGTACCACAATCTGTGTTAGAGGCCATCCCCCCTCAAAAGGCCCTGCATGTTGTAAGTCCAGATGTCAAGAATGGCCTTGAAGCCCACGTGAGGAGCTGGGCCACGGAGCACCAGTGGGGACTTCCCAAACTGATTCAGGATTCTCTGAGGGCAATTGCTCCCACTCAACTTGAGTCCCATTTCAAAGAAGAAAAGCATCATACACCACTCTCAGAAGATCATCGTAAGTCCTACGAGCAAGATGAAATCCCTCCTCTTTCTGAGGGAAGAGAGCCTTTGAAGCAACTCACACCCGAAGCAGGAGCCAGGGGTCATCCAAAAGCTACTATCCACCAAGGACATGGAGTGGCAACCACAGGCACAGGTGTGGAACTGACTACATCTGAATCATCTGAGGTGAAGCCGCCTTTGCTCACAGAGGAAGCTTGGAATCTCCTGGAATTCCACATTGGAAAGAAGAAAATCCAGCACATGTGGGGTCTTCCCTCCACTGTCCTGAAGTCCTTATGTGCCTTTGCCCTATTTCCCCCTGATCCAGAGAACCATCGGGGAGAAAACATAACAAATATTCACCCCTGGGATTGGGTAGAAGTGAGAACGATAATCAATAATCTTACGTTCATCAGCTTGGATATGAAGGAGACACTAGAGGCTCACATGAGGAATATAACCACAAAGCACAGATGGGAAATACCAAAGCGGGTACAGGAATCACTGAGGGCATTTAAACGGCCCAGATCACTTCCTCAATCTGATCCATTATCTTGTCAATACAAATCTTCCCAGGGGCATACTAATGGTTCCCAGACTGACGATGACAATGAACACTCATCAGAAGAAGCCAAGAGAAGGGTAAAAGGAAAGCAAGAGAGGACAGGAACTGTACCATCAAACTTTAAATTAACTGCTTTCTTAAGCCTTGAGGTGAACCTAAATTTTCTCACAAGGGTCACCCAGGACCTGTTGGAATTCCACATCCAGCATAAGAAGATCCAGCATGCATGGGGCCTACCATCCTCTGTGTTGAGGTCATTGAAGGCCTTTGGCCCATTCCCCCTTGAGATACAGAAACAGATGCAACACACAGGAAGGAACATGACAACGGCAACCCAATGCAATGGGATGCAGGTACAAGTAATTATCCCAAGTCTCTCCTTCCTGAATCCCAACACAAAAGAGCACCTGGAAGCTCACATGAGGAAGAGGGTAGTACAGCACAGGTGGGGCCTTCCAAAGCAGGTTCAGCAATCACTGGGAGGACTTCTCCGTCACAGACAACCTTTCAGATCAGGACAGGACAATGTGCGGCCTTACCCGAGCAAATTCTTCCAAGTCCCTACAGCTGATTCCCAGACTGAAGATGACAAGGAAGACTTGGTGAAGGAGGAAATGGGCAACAGAAGGACAGCAGGGAAGATATGGGGCTTTCCTCACGGGAAGCAGGGAGCAACCACAGCTGTGAACTTTGAAGAAACTACTTTGTTATGGTCTGGGGCAAAGCTTGCCTTCCTCACAGATGAAGCGCAAGATCTTCTGGAATTCCATATCCGACAGAAGAAACTCCAGCACACATGGGGCCTACCCTCCTCTGTGCTGAAGTCCATGCATGCCTTTGCCCCATTTCTCCATGGGTCTCAGACGCATGTGCAAAGCTTAGACAAGAGAATGACTAAGGCAAACCAATGGGTTAAGATAGAAGTGAAAGAGATTGTCTGGGATCTCTTCTTCCCAAGTCCAGACACAAAAGATCTCCTGGAAGCTCATGAGAGGAGGAGGGTGGTTAAGCGCAGATGGGGCCTTCCAATGAGGGTTCAGCAATCACTGGGAGTATTTCTACATCCCAGACATGCTTTAGGATTGGAATCGGAGAATGCACAGTATTTGTCTCCTCACTACAAATCCTCCCAGGTGGCTACAGATTACTCTGAAACACAAGGTGACAATGAAGACATGAAAGAATTCAAAGTCAAGAGAAGAAAAACAGGGGAAATGGAGGTCTTCAATCAATTGAAACAGGGAGCAGACTCATCTATGAACTTGAATGTAACTGCTTTCTTATGGCCTGGAGTGAAACTTGGTTTCTTAACCAATGAGACCTGGGAAATTCTCGAATTTCACATCCTGCGCAAGAAACTCCACCATACCTGGGGCCTACCCTCCAATGTGCTGAAGTCCCTGCATGCCTTTGCTCCATTTCACCTTGAGACAGAGAAACACAGGCAAAGCATGACCATGAGATACGCATGGGAGAAAGAAGAAGCCCATATTATTTCAAGGAGTCTTACGTTCCTCAGCCAAGACTTACAGGAGAACCTGGATGCCCATGTGAGGCGTATGACTACACACCATAGGTGGCAACTTCCAGAACAGGTTTCACAATCACTGAGGGCATTTCAGAATCCCAGAGCATTTTCCCAATGTGAGTTGGGTGAAGCAAGGTCTCTAACACCTTTTCATGGCAAATTTCTCCAAGAGCATACTGTTGATTCCCAGACTGAAGATGAAAATGAAGTCTTGGTGGAGGAGGAAATGGACAACAGAAGAACAGCAGGAAAGGGATGGGTTATTCCCCAAGTGAAGGAGGGAGTAACTGTACAATCAAACTTTAAATTAACTGCGTTATCAAGCCTTGAGATGCACCTAAATTTTCTCACAAGGGTCACCCAGGACCTGTTGGAATTCCACATCCAGCATAAGAAGATCCAGCATGCATGGGGCCTACCATCCTCTGTGTTGAAGTCATTGAAGGCCTTTGGCCCATACCCCCTTGAGATACAGAAGCAGATACAACACACAGGAAGGAACATGACAACGGCAACGCAATGCAATTGGATGGAGGTACAAGTTGTTATCCCAAGTCTCTCCTTCCTGAGTCCCAACACAAAACAGCACCTGGAAGCTCACATGAGGAAGAGGGTGGTACGGCACAGGTGGGGCCTTCCAAAGCGGGTTCAGCAATCACTGGGAGGATTTCTGCTTCCCAGACAACCTTTCGGATCTCGTCAGGATAATGTGCAGCCTTCCCTAGGCAAATTCTTCCAAGTCCCTACAGCTGATTCCCAGACAGAAGATGACAATGAGGACTTGGTGAAGGAGGAAATGGGCAACAGAAGGACAGCAGGGAAAGGATGGGACTTCCCTCAAGGAAAGCAGGGAGCAACCACAGCTGTGAACTTTGAAGAAACTAATTTCTTATGGCCTGGGGCAAAGCTTGCTTTCCTCACAGATGAAGCGCAAGATCTTCTGGAATTCCATATCCGACAGAAGAAACTCCAGCACACATGGGGCCTACCCTCCTCTGTGCTGAAGTCCATGCATGCCTTTGCCCCATTTCTCCATGGGTCTCAGACGCATGTGCAAAGCTTAGGCAAGAGAATGACTAAGGCAAACCAATGGGTTAAGGTAGAAGTGAAAGAGATTGTCTGGGATCTCTTCTTCCCAAGTCCAGACACAAAAGATCGCCTGGAAGCTCATGAGAGGAGGAGGGTGGCTAAGCACAGATGGGGCCTTCCAATGAGGGTTCAGCAATCACTGGGAGTATTTCTACATCCCAGACATGCTTTAGGATTGGAATTGGAGAATGCACAGTATTTCTCTCCTCACTACAAATCCTCCCAGGTGGCTAGAGATTCCTCTGAAACAGAAGGTGACAATGAAGACATGAAAGACTCCATGGTCAAAAGAAGGACAATAAGGAATATGGATGTCTTCAACCAATTGAAACAGGGAGCAGACTCATCTATGAACTTGAATGTAACTGCTTTCTTGTGGCCTGGAGTGAAACTTGGTTTCTTAACCAATGAGACCTGGGAAATTCTCGAATTTCACATCCTGCATAAGAAACTCCACCATGCTTGGGGCCTACCCTCCAATGTGCTGAAGTCCTTGCATGCCTTTGCTCCATTTCATCTTGAGACAGAGAAACACAAGCAAAGCATGACCATGAGATACCCATGGGAGAAAGAAGAAGCCCATATTATTTCAAGGAGTCTCACGTTCCTCAGCCAAGACTTACAGGAGAACCTGGATGCCCATGTGAGGCGTATGACTACACACCATAGGTGGCACCTTCCAGAACAGGTTTCACAATCGCTGAGGGCATTTCGGCATCTCAGACCCTTTCCACAATCTGAGTTGGGTGAAGCAAGGTCTCTAACACCTTTTCATGGCAAATTTCCCCAAGAGCCTGAAGCTGATTCCCATTCAGAAGAGGACAAGGAAGACTTGGTGGAGGAGGAAATGGGCAACAGAAGAACAGGAGAGAAAGGATGGGGCTTTCCACAAGGAAAGCAGGGAGCAACCACAACTGTGAACTTTGAAGAAACTTATTTCTTATGGCCTGGAGTGAAGCTTGCTTTCCTCACAGATGAAATGCAAGATCTTCTGGAATTCCATATCCGACAGAAGAAACTCCAGCACACATGGGGCCTACCCTCCTCTGTGCTGAAGTCCATGCATTCCTTTGCACCAATTCTCCATGAGTCTCAGACGCATGTGGAAAGCTTAGGCAAGAGAATGAGTAAGGCACACCAAGGGGATAAGGTAGAAGTGAAAGAGATTGTCTGGGATCCCTTCTTCCCAAGTCCAGCCACAAAAGATCGCCTGGAAGCTCATGAGAGGAGGAGGGTGGCTAAGCACAGATGGGGCCTTCCAATGCGCGTTCAGCAATCACTGGGAGTATTTCTACATCCCAGACATGCTTTAGGATTGGAATTGGAGAATGCACAGTATTTTTCTCCTCACTACAAATCCTCCCAGGTGGCTAGAGATTACTCTGAAACAGAAGGTGACAATGAAGACACGAAAGACTCCATGGTCAAAAGAAGGACAATAAGGAATATGGAGGCCTTCAACCAATTGAAACAGGGGGCAGACTCAACTATGAACTTGAATGTAACTGCTTTCTTGTGGCCTGGAGTCAAACTTGGTTTCTTAACCAATGAGACCTGGGAATTTCTCGAATTTCACATCCTGCGCAAGAAACTCCACCATGCTTGGGGCCTACCCTCCAATGTGCTGAAGTCCTTGCATGCCTTTGCTCCATTTCATCTTGAGACAGAGAAACACAGGCAAAGCATGACCATGAGATACCCATGGGAGAAAGAAGAAGCCCATATTATTTCAAGGAGTCTCACGTTCCTCAGCCAAGACTTACAGGAAAACTTGGATGCCCATGTGAGGAGGATGACTACACACCATAGGTGGCACCTTCCAGAACAGGTTTCACAATCACTGAGGGCATTTCGGAATCCCAGAGCATTTTCCCAATGTGAGTTGGGTGAAGCAAGGTCTCTAACACCTTTTCATCGCAAATTCTCCCAAGAGCCTGAAGCTGATTCCCATTCAGAAGATGACAAGGAAGACTTGCTAGAAGATGCCAAGGTAAGAAAAAAGGCAATAGAGAAACTGGAGAGGAAGCTCAATTATGTTCAAAAGGCAGCAGCTACACCTGTATTGGCTCAAGCGACTACTTTCTTATGGCCTGAGGTGACTCTTCCTTTCCTCACGGATGAGGCCCAGAACCTTCTGGAATCACACATTCAGCACAAAAAACTCCATCATGCATGGGGCTTACCTTCCTCTGTGTTGAAGTCCCTGCATGCCTTTGCTCCATTTCTCATTGAATCAGAGAAGCACCCACCATACATGGAAGGAGAGAATATAGCCAACAGAGTTTCATGGGACAGAGGGGAAGTATACATTATTACTCCAACTCTCTCATTCCTCAGTCCAGACACAACAGAGTGTCTAGATGCTCATGTGAGGAGTATGACTGCAAAGCATAGATGGGGGCTTCCAAAACATGCTCAAAATATGCTTAGAGCATTTCTACTTCCTGTGCCACCTTCTCAGTTTGGGGAAATCAGGCCTCAAACTCATCCCCACAACTCTACATTTTATCAAGACTCTCATACCCAACTTCTGGGGGAGAATGAGGAGGAGAGACTTCTGGCAAGAACCTCATCTATTACCCATTTTATAGACTGTGTGGCAGAGTTGCCTTTCCTCACTGATGGTGCTCAAGATGTTCTGGAAGTCCACATCCAGCACAAGAAGATCCAGCACCAGTGGGGCTTGCCAGCCATTATTCAGAAATCAGTGTGTGCATTTGCTCCACCCCCCTTGGAGCCACAGGAGAGCCCCCAAACTTCAGTGGGAGTGAGCACTGATGGAAGGAGACAAAAGAACTTTATTGATGAATGGAGAGCTGGTGCCAAGGAATGGCCTGGGGCAAAGGAGGCTCCTGTTTCTTCCCAGCACTCGCATTTCTTACATTCAAGATCAAACAAACACCAGAAAAAACACATCAAGAACCTCAACATAGAGCACCAGTGGCACCTCCCTAAACTGTCTCAGAAGTCAAGGAGGGCCTTTATCACAGAAGCTGATGAAATGGAGGAGGAGGAGGAGCCTTTGACTTATTCTGGCGCCCAGACCCTCCAAGTGCCAAACACTCCTTTTCAAACAGGAGCAGAAAAGGAAGCCAGCTCAGGGTCAGAAGATCAACCCACATACACCTCAGAGCTGTTTTGGAAAATACAGCATAGGATGGTTTCCTGGCCAGATGCCGAAAAGAATACTGGATCTCTCTATCCTCATACAAAAGTTCAGCATTTCACAGTAATCCAAGGGACAAGCAGCAGCTCGGAGGGTGAACGAGAAGCTCCGCAAGTGAGTACATTGCAGATATTTACACTGAATCTACATCATGCTGCGCAGTATCCACAAATTTCTGGCAAGGCAGAGGAGTCTTGTGAGATATTCAACTGTCCCTGCTCATGCCATTCATCAACATCCACAAAAGGCTCAGCTTCATCATTACAATTACTTGCAGAGCAAAGGTGGAGGCAGGAGCAGCAAGAAAATTCCCAGGAAAATGGAAAGGAGACAGAGGCAGGGTCCTTTTCTCAGATATCAGAGAATAATGGGCCCCAGGACTCTGATTCTTTCCCAGGAGAAAGTAGAAAAGATCCTTCCATTTCAAGGGAAGCCGAGGTGGATTTTTCTGTTCAGACATCAGCTAATATTGAATGTCAGGACTCTGATTCATCCTCAGGAGACAGAGATAAGAATACTTCCCTCTCAAAGGAAGGGAAGGCTGACTCCTCTTCTCAGCCATCATTGAATACCGAACTCCAGATTCATCCTTCATCCTCAGGAGATAATAAAGATCCTTCCCCCTCACAAGAGGCAGAGGCAGATGCCACTTCTCAGATAGCACATAATATTGAATCCCAAATCTCTGGTTCATCCTTAGGTGAACATATGAAGGATGCTTCACTCTCAGAACATGAATTTTCCCAGGCATATTTTGGGCCTTTGAAAGCAGATGACACTCAACAGTACAACACTCTTGTCTCCCGGCAAGCCTTGGATCCCACCACACAGCCATCCCATACCCTTGATTCTCAATGTTTCCATGAGCATGTAGTAGGCCCCGTGCATTATAGCCAGGCAGATCAACAGCACCAGGCAAAATGGGGCAAACAAAGCTGTGACAGTGAGGAAAGGAAGCAAATAACCAACCAAATTATTGAAGATACAGCCACCAGCAGTGACAAAGGGGGCCAAGCACCTGGACAGCTAAAAGGGTGGTCCTCTGAATCCCCTTGCTGTAATCTGAAACCTCACCCACCCACCCCCAAAAGTGAGGACCCCATGGAGCACCAAGATATCCAAGTCTCTGAGAATAGGGAGACCTCAAGTGAAGACTCCCAAGATCAAGAACAATCCAACCAGCAGGTGTCGCATTTATCTCAAAATCAAGATTCTGCAAACACAGAAGTTGAATTCCAAATGAAGCCCACAGATGGTTCCCTGCTACAGACAAGTGATAATATGGGGAAAGAAAGGGAGGAAGGTGGTGCCTGCTCATCTTCTGAGTACAGCACAGAATGTGAACTGGAGAGAGTCGGAGACTGGGATGGTGGGGAAGAAATAGGTGAGAAGAGCTCATGTGTGAGAAAGGAGGAAGGAGTCAGTAGTGAAGATGCAGAGGAGATGCCCATGGTGGAGCCCAGAAGTCTGAGATATGCAGATTCTCTGACAGCAGGAGCACCCCAAGTTTCTCCAGAGGATGTTGTGCCTTCCTCAGAGACCTCAGATGAAAGGGCCAGCCTAAGCAAAACAAAGCTGTTTGATGTGGCAAGGCAAGCAGTTTCTGAACAATTTGAACACCTCCGTACACCTCAGTCAGTTGCAGATGAAATGACTGAAGCTCTGGAGCTCTCCAGGCAACTCTCTGTATCTCACAAAAGAGTGGCCTTCCGGGAGGAAAATCATGATTTTGAACAGACAGAGATCTTGGGGAATGACAGGGAAGAAGAAGGAAATGCTGATGGAGAAGCATCCACAATAGATCCTGGAGGTGGGGAACACCAAGGAGCTGGGAGGAAGGATGAGGAGGAAGAAAGAGGAGAAGCAGAAGAAGTAAGAGATGGAGGAGGTGAAAGAGAAGGAGAAGTAAGAGATGGAGAAGGAGAAGTAAGAGATAGAAATGGTGAAGAAATTTTGGGTGGGAGAAGAAAGGCATCCCATAAAGAAACTATTGGAGAAAAAGAGTTATCAACCAAACATGAGAGCAAACAGGTAGCTAAGACAACAAGAGGGGAAGAGGCCCCCAGGTTAGAACAAAGGATGGGCAAGCAGCTGGTGCAAAAAGGCTCCCACCCTCATGCTGTAGGTGGCATATCTTCAAAACACACTGTGAAAACAGATGGGAAACTGTCTATACTTGGTAAAATCCTGGAGAGAAAAATGCATCTGCGGGATGGGATGAATATCTGGATGCAGAATACTGAAAAGCCGGGGGTCATTTCAGAAGGGAAGTCAAAGAAAGGAGGCCATGCAACGAGCGGTATGGGAAAACACCCTGGAGAAAGTCAGAGAGAGAGAAAGGATTTGGCCCAATCCAAATTTAGGAAGAAAAGTGAAAGGAAGATGACTCAAAGCATGTTGTACAAGAGGAAGCAGAGTGGGGGTGCTGGTGAAACAAGGCTCCTTGAGAAAAGAGAAGGGAGATCAGTCCGATGGGATCATGAATCTAAACCCAGAAAAGGGAGAACAAGTTTCAGGAGCTGGAAGCAGAGCATAATGTCAAGGCTCAGAGGAAGCAGCAGGGATAAAAAATCAAGCAGTGGATCGAGAAGCAGGTCAAGCAGTAGGGAACCAAGATCAAGCAGCCAGACAAGGAGCAGGGCAAGTAGCAGAAATCTAAGATTCAGCAGCTGGTCAAGGAGCAGGGGAAGCAGCAAGGGCCGAAATTCAAGCAGCAGGTCAAGAAGCCGGGGAAGAAGCAAGGACCCAAGTTCAAGCAGTAGAAATCCGAGATTGAGCAGCCGGTCAAGAAACAGGTCAAGCAGCAAGGACCCGAGTTCAAGCAGCAGGTCAAGCAGAAATTTAAAAAGTCCAGAAAGCACTGGGACAAGCAGCAAAGATGGAGCAGAAGTTGAGTGAGTGGCAAGGTGTGCACTAAGGACTGAAAACTGAGCATCAGCAGGGCAACCTGCAAGATCTAGTCCCCTTGACAAAGAGGCCAAGGGAAAATGATAAGCTGCTCTGGTGGAGTGTGTAGGATGCCTTGATGACAAGGATTTTTTAAAATGCCGCACCATGAATATCAAATGGTGGTGACAGGAAAAGAGCACAAGGCTCCACCTTCCACTGATGGTTGTCGAGATGCTGAAGGCTCAGCAAACCTATCACTTACCTTTTTTACCGCGTATGAAGCATTCTTAAATTGTTTTGTAATGTAATACGTTTTTGTCAATAAATCTCTATGTTAGCAGCACTGTGTTGGGGGGTTTGCAGGGCCTAAATATAATAACCACCGGTGGGGAACGGAGACAAATACAGTCCGCCAAGAACCTCTATCTGGCACTTGCAATCCTTACCAGGTCACACACATGTCCTTCATCGGCCCTGCTTCACACAGCCCTTAAGTGTTTTCGTCTGGTTTTGTTTTCCCCAGTACAATTTATTTTTTGTAAAATACATTTTCTAACAAATACAGTACAAATACTAACAGTCCCCCAGAAGGGAATGCAGCCATTGTGATGAAAAAAGTTCCCCAATCCTGCCTTAGATGACCAGTCTGACTTTACTGGTGGTGCTGTGGGTTAAACCACAGCCTAGGTGGTTACCTAGGCTGTGGTTTAACCCACAGCACCACCAGTAAAGTCAGACTGGTCATCTAGGGCTTGCCAATCAGAAGGTCGGCGGTTCGAATTCCTGTGACAGGGTGAGCTCCCATTGCTCAGTTCCTGCTCCTGCCAACCTAGCAGTTCAAAAGCACGTCAAAGTGCAATTAGATAAATAGGTACCACTCTGGCGGGAAGGCAAACGGCTTTTTTGTGCACTGCTCTGGTTCGCCAGAAGCGGCTTAGTCATGCTGGCCACATGACCTGTACACTGGCTCCCTCGGCCAATAAAGCAAGATGAGCACCGCAACCCCAGAGTCGGTCACAACTGGTCCTAATGGTCAGGGGTCCCTTTACCTTTTTAACTACTGTAGGCAGCTCTAGGGGAGCAACTGCACATTCACTCCATTCAAGTCTAACCTGGGTGCTCACCCATCTTCTACTGGGACTGGCCCATGTGCCTCCTGGTCCTGGTGTTCACCATCATTGGTTCACAAGAAGTTATTAGTACTCTGGCACCAACCCATTGAGAGGTGATCTGGCCCTTGGGAATCTTCAAAGGCCACACAAATGGCCACACAAATCCCTGGTCTTACTTCACCTTCTTAGCTGGTTTTTGTTCGCTTGTTCATTGCCTGGTTGGAATGTGTCATTGAACTGTACTGATACCTCTTTGTAGCCTGGATGGAGAGAGGTACCCCTGGCTTTTGTGAGACTTGTATGATTGCAGCCAATTGTACAAATATAAGAGTTGCATCCATTGTCCTACCCACCACAGGCATGTGGACCCCAGAAGATTGCCCACTAGGCCCTCAAGCTAAAAAAAAAAAAATGTTCTCCTCTGTCTTAAATCCCTATTATGTCACAATGTGCTCAGGGGTAGGTTTCATCTGTGCTTTTTCTTAGCAGGGGGTGGGGGACACACAGAAATAACCATGATGTGCTGGTTTGGCTCAACCATAGTGTTCTGTGACCCATGGAAATAATGCACAAGAAGTCAATTCAGTTCATAAATAGTGGTAAAATTGACAGATGATCCAAAAGTCCTTGAAGCCATTTTTCAATCAGGTGTAGTTTGTGCAATTCATGTATAGCTTATTAAACTTAAAGATCTCTTGGTGTTTGGGATCTTAGTACTGTTCCTTTGCATGAAATTTAAATTGTAGCCCATTTTGTTTGAGGATAGATAATACTGCCATAGATCTCGGGTACCAGAGTCTGCTAGAGAATGGTAGAAATTAATAAACAGTAGTATTAAGATGCTATTTAGGATATGAAGGGAAAATACAAGCTGCAGAATTGTGCCAGACAAGAAATTCCTGGATTAGTTTACGCAAAATGGCCTGGCTAAATGCAGAGACATCAAGGAACAATGGAGACCCAAGTACTGAGTCCTTAAGAGTCATTAGAAATGCAAAAGCACTCCCTCCCCTCCCCCCAAGCAGTGGAAAGAGACAGAAGAGTTGGCAGGTTGCCAAGATGGTGGGGAGGGGGTGATGTCAAAGGAAAACTTGTCCCTTTTGAAATCTAAAGGTGTTCTGGGAACAAAAAGGAGGAAGTAGGCAGAACTCCGCGCAGTGCTGGGTGGAGGAAGCTGCGCTGAGAGACCAGAAACCATGACTGAACTGCTACTCTCAACACAACCTTGAAAGGAGCAATGAGAGACACTTTTGAAGCATAATGTTCTTCATGGAATATATGTAACATAAACCATATTTCTTAAAGACACTAGCCTCTGCTAGTGCCTGTCACCATCATGCAGTTGGGAGAGATCCTTTTGATTTGTTTATAACCCTGAATAATTTGGCACGATCCACAAAACTGGCCACCTCACTGTTCACTGCTAACTGCAGGGCATTTATGAATAAGTGAAAAAGCAGCAGTCCCAGTATAGATTCTTAGAGATCCCAGTCCCATGGAAGTCTATACACAGCTGACTCAGGCTGAAGGTGGGCCTGGAATCTGACATTGCTGGGCTCTAGAATCTTGTCATGTAATAAGAACAGCTCTGCAGTAGGGAGAGCTGAAACTGTAAATTTTGGGTTTTCTCAGTATGCAGTTTCCCCAACTTTAAGTGTAAACTTTTGGGTTTGAAGAAAAGCATCACAGAAATCAGAAAAGGGTAGATTTCAAAGGACATTGTGTTTCAGCTCACTTATTGGTTGAGGAAGTACAAGTTAGGCAAACAGCCCAACTGTTCAGCACCAAATACAAGGCTACAAATATGTGTAAATTAGGTGTACCTCTAGAGCTATACAGGACATTCAAAGCTGACTGGTTTCTGTAAACTAACCTGAGAGCTTCAAGTGCAGGTAATAACTGTTGTACAGTGGTACCTCTGGTTACAAACTTAATTCGTTCCGGAGGTCCGTTCTTAACCTGAAACCATTTGTAACCTGAGGTACCACTTTAGCTAATGGAACCTCCTGTTGCTGCCATGCCACTGGTGTGCAATTTCTGTTCTCATCCTGAGGTAAAGTTCTTAACCCGAGGTACTACTTCCAGGTTAGCGGAGTCTGTAACCCAAAGTGTTTGTAACCTGAGGTGTTTGTAACCCAAGGTACCACTGTAATTACAAATTCCTAGCAGCCCCAGTAGCCACCATATTCAATGGCCAGAGATTATGGGAGCTGTTGTCCAACAATATCTGGAGGACCACAGGTTCCTGAATCCCTAAGAAACCCTCTTCACACTCCTATTTCCCTTTGGAAGGCTCCAGATGAACATTTTGATGCAAGGTTTATTGGAGGCTGATGGTTTTATTTATTTATTATTTATTTAATCAATTAATTATTTTATTTATGGCATTTTCATCCCACCTTCTTCCCCATGGGCATCAAAGTGGCATAAATGGTTTTCTCCCTCCTCATTTAATCCCCACAGCAACCATATGAGGCAGATTAGGCTGAGAGGCAAGTATTAACCCAAGGTCACCCAGTGAGCTTCATAGGTGAGTTGGAATTTCAATCCTGGTCTGACACTCTAACCACTACACCACACTGAGGAGAGAGCATGGAAGGAGAGACTAGGTTTGGGCTATCAGTGGGTTACCACCACCCATCCATTATTTTAAAGCTTCTATTGCTATCCAGAAAAGCTACAACTTTGAAAATGAAAGCTGAGATTAATAGGGTAGTAAATTCTGTGCCAGACTATCAGATTCCATCCAATGGGGATGTGGATGTAGGATGCATGCGGAGGACTCTGTGGTGGGCTGAATTCCATTTGAACTCACAAGCACCAAGCCGCAGTGTTCAGTTTGACTGCTCCATCGAGAATTGAATGTATTGGCTTGATCTGGTTCATTGCTAATTTCAGGTTCATAGCAAAAGCGGGGGCGGCAACATGGAATCATCACCTGTGCATTTTGACTGCCAAATTTGCACTGATCATAAGACTGCTGGAACCTGTTTGCCCGCTGCTCTGATGGAATGCAATTAAGTCCAAGCAGGCGGCAGCGGCTTCCATGACTGGAGAGAACCCAGGGCGTTCCCAAGGTTCTTTTGTTGGTTCTTTGTGTTGTTCTTTGGAACGTTGGAACGTTGCTTTAAAACACTGCTAACTGCCACTGCCTGGGGGATACAGACCATCTCTTGGGTGCAAAGACTGCATTCACAAAGATGGGACTGATTTCCCTTATCAATTGCTTTTTCCCTTTGGACTGCTACTTCAGCTTGTACACTACTCTAGTCCTGGCTCTGTTCATCAGCCTCTTCCAAATGATCCTATGTGGCTCCTTTGTGTGGTGCAAGAGAGTTGGCCAAGCATGGAGAAGCATCTTGTCCTTTTCAGTGGAACCTGAAATCACTGAGAATCCCCACTTTTTGGAGCAACAGCTGGGCAGTTTGTTCCCCTCTGAGACCGGCACACCGATGGTGAGTTTCAGTGACACCTTTGTTCATGTCTGAAGTTGACTCACATTGGGGGGGTTTTCAGTTCCCAACAGCAATATTTGCTTCCTCATTTATTTAAGAGATCTCCTACCCATCCTTCAGCAGAAACCTTCCCAAGGCAGGTCACAGCCATATAGCATCAAAACCCAAAATAAAACAACTATGTGAGAATACAGACAAGCTGACTCATCCCCACCACATTTGGTTTTCTCAGCTTACAACAGCAATATGTACTTACAAATTTATTTAAGAGATTTCCTACTTTTCCTTCAGCACAAAGGTTCCCAGAGCAGGTCACAGCTATATAATCAAATAATATCAAAATCCAAAATAAAACAATTATATGACAATACAGAATTCGCACACATGTTAACTGGCAAAAGGCAAGGCTCAGAGAATGATAGAAACTACTTAATGAGCATTCATGGGGATGGGGTTCCATGTTTTAGGGGCCTTCAATGGGCAGAAAGCAGCAATGTGATGCCATGGTCATAATGAAAATGGCATTTTAACGGGCCATTTGAGTCTTGCATTGACACAAACTTCGACATTGAATGAACCTCTAAGTGAGATGGGAGGAGTCAAAAATGACCTGACAGTATTGCATGATTTGGCCACCAGGAGACAGGAATGCAGGAAGTAGCCTTATACAGATCCAGACTGTTGGTCCATCCAGTTTAGTACTGTCAAAGCAGACCAGTGGCAGCTCTCCAGGAAATCAGACTGGAATTTTCCCCAGTCCTATTTAGAGATACCAGGGATGGAACTTGGAACATGCCTCATTCTGCCTGATGGCATAGTACCCTGTTTAGTAAGGTGGTATTTCCAATTGGTTGTTCTTCCCTTTGAATAACTTCGCTGCCTCCTCTCTTCCTAGAAGGAACATGTGGAACACAGAAGCCATCTCCAAGCAGCTGTTGGAAAAGAAGAAGGCAAGCCATCGAGACAGGAACCAGCTCATCCCGGTGATTTATTATTATTTTTAAGAGCCAAGCTCAATGTTGACATTTGATCATTCACATGGTCTTTCATGGCATCCATGAAAGTGTACATACACACATTTGTTTGTTGGTTGGGTTCATTCAATAAGATAAGTTCAAGATAATAAAACCCAGATCCAAAATCTTTTAAAAAACAAAAGAAAATGTATTCAAAACTTAAAATTATAGGAGGAGACAGAATACACACAGGAAAACTAGCCGAGAATCATCTAACAAAAATACTTAGAGTTGAGTTGAGTTAGTCAATGCAATGCAATCTAGAAGTTGGCTTACAATGCCCATATAATCCCTGGTCATTGGACATGCTTGCTAGGGCTGATGGGCACTGCAGTCCAACTACATTTGGAAGGCCACAGATTCACTGCTGTTCTGAAATAAAGTCAGTGCCTCTTAGGCCCACAAATTGGTATATAAGTATTCTAACACATCTAATAAATATATAAATATGTCATGAGGTCTGACAGGGAAGTGTCAGGCCCCCACAGGTCGAGAAGAGGCTGGATGCTTGGAATGCAACTGGCTTTTTATTCACAGAAAGTAACCCAGCAAAATTTCCCTGGCTCGACTCCTTCAGCTTGAGAAGTTGCAGGAAACTTAGCTCCGGCCCCACCTTTCCCCTCTACACTCTCAATCTGGAGCCCTCCCTAACAGACGGTGACTCCAATGTGGGAGTTAGGTCCTACTCTTCTGGTTCTGTATGACTCATTGCTTGGCAGCAGGCAGGACTTCCAGCACCACCCAACTCAACCCTTCCCCACTGTCCCACCACCAGGACCCGGGCTCTAAGTCTTTGTCTTCCCTGTCTTCCCTGGCGGGCTCCTCATCTGGCCAGTTCCTGACAAAATATGAGAGTCAGTGGGCTCCATACCAACCTGGAGGTGGAGAAAAGCTCACCAGTGCCTTCATTTGGCTTACAGGTACCAACCACCAGGAGAGAGAACCACAAAATATAGGCAGTCGCTGTGCCTCCATCCGCAGATTGCTATGTGACAATACAGCCTGTGCCTTATGTGACAGGGCAGCCATGGAGGCTGAGGAAGTGATGTGTGTCCATGGATTAAACCCTGGGTTTCAAAGAGATGACATCATTTCCCCATGGAGCAACAGTGAACCTGCCCCAAACTGTCACCATCCAGAATTGGGCCCAGAAACAACTCCTTCATCCAGGAAGGAGCAAGTTCTTCCCAAATGCAAGGGGAAGAAAGAAAAGCCACTCCATTCTACTCAGCAAGCTGTTTCCATTTTCAGGGAGTATGGCATGAGTCCTAGCCATCTCAACAACCATTCCATGTTCACTATGAATGAACGTTATGACAGCTCTGATGACAGAAGTTGGGAAATGAGGGACCACTTCTACTCCTCTTCTAGCACATCTTCTGTGCTGTCTTTCAATAGCTGGGCAGATCACAGTCCCTCTACTGAACTGCCAGAGTTATCCTATTTCAGCAAGAAGAACCATATTCCTTTGAGGCATAGGAAAAATGAAGCATCCTCTTTGTGTGAAAAGGAGAACTACCAGGGCATGAGATTCCACCTTAAAGCAGCAAGACATTTCCCCACTTTCTTACCTGTGGTCTCACAAGCAAATACAAAGTCTCCTAGGGTTGAATTCGCTACCGCAGACACTCCCTTTATGGCAAAGGCTCCAAGGACCTTGGAGCAGCATTTGGTCATGAAAAGAGTTCAACACAAACTGGGTCTTCCATCAGTCGTCCTCAGGTCATTCAAGGCTTTTTTGCCTCTTGGTATGGATTCCACTTTCCTGCGCCGCACAAAGAAGGAGGCTACTGTGTTGAAGAGGCCTCGGCTTCTTCCTTTCATGAATGTGGCAAAGAGCAGGACACTGGAGCAACACATGAAAAAGATGATTTGCATGCGGCGTTGTGGGCTGCCAAGGCAAGTCCAAGAGGCCCTCAAGCACATGAAGCTGGCCTCTCACCTCACCACAAATATAGCATCGTCTGCACACAGGAAAAAAGGCCGAGGCATCGTCAAGGGTGAGAGAGAAGGGAAGGTTCACTGGCACGTTCTACACTGGGAATCCACAACCAGGGAAACAGCCCTCAAATCTCCCCCTCCTTCCAAAGCAAACCCCCAGACTACAACTGGTAAGAAGTCATTTAAGGCCAGACACAAGCTAATAGAGAATTCCCAGAGAATAATTGTCCCAGAGGAGAAGAAAGCCCCCTTGCCCAAGCTGACCCTACCGCACAGCAGTTACACTCAGCGACTCAGCAGGCCAAGGCCAAGTCTCCGGGGGAAGGCAGATTGTGTGGATATGAATGTTAAGTATAAAGGCATTCAATTCCTATGGGCCCCCCCTACACTGTACATTCAACCCCTGAGCAATATAATACCCAGTGCTCCAGAGTTGCTAGCTCCCCCATCTTGGTCGCATCACACCACTGAGTTTGTCCACGCAAGGACACCTTTTCTTCCTGCCAATGAGGAGCAGTGTTTGGAATCCCATGTCATCAGAAAGAGGGCTCAACACCCGTGGGGCCAGCCCAAACTGACACAAGAGTCTTTGCAAAAGTTCCACCTGCCTACAGCACCCCATGCTTCCTCCAAATTGTACTCGGGAGGGGAAGTGAGGGTATCCCCTAGGAGCTCCTTGCCTTTTGCCACCTTGGAGACCAAGAAGCACCTGGAGGGCCACATCGAGGGTAAGGTCATAGAGCAGGGGTGGGGCATCCCCAAGCGAGTCATGGAGTCCCTCCACCACTCCACTCCACTAACAAAGGAGCCCAAAGGCAGTCAGGAGATGTCTGCATCCCACAAGGGGAAGAGGATTCTGGGGAGCCTTCCATTGGGGAAAGCACCAAATTTCTCTGGGATGCCAAAGCCACAGTGCAACCAGCATCAAGTGCTGAAAAGACCCGTGGACCAAGAGACTCATGAAATCTCACTGGAGCTTGTTGACCCCATGTTTCATTTGCCTCAGTCAGCTGGCCACCAAGTCAAGGAACATGACCTTCCTAAAGTTGCCCCACTTGGTTTGAAAGCCCAGCAGCCTCAATCCCACGAGGTTCCATTTGCAGAGAAAGACATCACCGTTCATATCAAACTCAACATTGCAAGCAAAGGTTTGGCTCACAGGCAAGGATTGTCCACACTCTACAGAAAACCTTTATCCTATTTGTACAAGGAGGACACCCTTCAGGTGCCCTTTTCCACCTTGCCCAGAAAGGATACCATCTTTGACTTCACCTCAGCAGAGATCCCATTCATTGAGCAGAGGACTCGGGAGGATCTGGAATGGCACGTGAGAAAAAAGAGGTTGCAGCATGCTTGGGGGTTGCCAAGCCTTGTCCAGAGATCTCTCCATTCTGTTTTCCCAGTTGTCCCCCAATCACAGCAGCACCGGACATTGCAGCACGTGGAGGTGAATGTTCTTCTGGATGAGCTTTCCTTCTTCAGTGATGCCATCATCCAAGAACTAGAGCAGAATCTGCTGAAAAGAATTACACTTCACCGATGGCGCTTACCCCAAAGGGTCCTTGAGTCCCTCAGGCTGCTTTCCCCAGAGATTGTGGCTGTTGCAGGGAAACAGGATGGAACTAGGATAGGGAGGAGGACAATGACAAGTCAGCCTTTGGTGTACCCCACACTTCAGTCTGAAACTATAGAGCATAAGATACTCCACTTGGATGAAAAAGGTCCAGACATTTCCCCAACCTTGGCCAGACATACTTGGCAATGCATGTCAACTTCACTGAGTCAGTTTCTCCCCAAGACCCTCCATAGTCATGGGCTTCTGGAGCCACACAACGACATCCAGCCATCTGATTGGACAGAAAGCATGGACCAGGTTGAGTCGGCCATGCAACATGATCATTTGCTGTCACTCTGGGGCATGAAGGGTCTGGGTGGAACAAGGCACATGTCACCACTGCAGCCTTCCATTCCCAGAACAGCAACCACCTTCATGTTTTCAGAAGCAAAGACACCATTCCTCTTGGAGCAAGAAAGGCAAGCCTTAGAACTCCACATTAGAAAAAAGAAGCTACAGCATGAATGGGGCTTGCCTAGTCTTATTCAGAAATCCTTGCATGGCTTCAAGTCACAGGCTCCCCCACTGCCCAGTCTCCAAAGGGCTGAAGCTCATGTCTACATTCTACTACAGAAACCATCGTTCCTTCCCCAAAGCACCTACAGTCAGCTGGAATTCCACATTCAAAGGATGATGCTACAGCGACAATGGAAGCTGCCTAAGAGGATTCTGGAATCTATCAAGATTTTCAACCCTGCATTTGGGACAGGTCCCTTGGAACTACAAAATACAGAGTACCAAAATAAAAGCTGTGACTCTCCGGGCAGATTATACCCTGCCATCCCAGTAGCCAGAGAAGAGCTGTCCTCTTGGGAAGAGGCAAGGCAGGCGACGTTTGTGGGTGAGAACATCTTCACACATGGACCCAAGGCTTACAGGGCACAGCAAATGGTCAGCCCACACCAGGATACGGAGGCAGGAGAAGTCCCTGAAGGAGCTTTTTCTGAATCATCAGCTGCCTCTACAGATCACCATAGCCTCAGGAGAAAGTCCACAGAAACTGGTCTCCAGCCCATGGGAAGCTTCAAGGTCACACCTGACGAACCTTTCCAGAAGCTTGCCCCTCTTTACAGCCAAGTGAAGCCCAGAAGCACATTTCTGCCCTTGGTGGAGGGTGAAGCAGTGGATAAGGGGGAGCTGAACATCAGGTACGAATATCCAGAGCATTTACCTAGTCAACAGAGTGAAATCTTGAATACGATATATGCAGACTCTGCAGCCTGGCCACACATGGATGAATGTTTCACAGGAATAGACTCAATGAATGTTTCCCTGGATGGAAGTGAGGCTAGAGAGAAACCAGGAATTAACGTCTACAAGGAGCATTCGGTGGCAATGGCATCAGTGGATGACAAAATGATTGACCTTGCAGCCTCTCAAGATGAGGCTCAGGAGCAACTAGAATCCTACACCAAACATAAGAAAATCTTTCACCATTGGGGCTTATCACAAGTTGTGCAGAAATCCATGAGAGCATTTTGCCCACCTCCTCCTAAGTCCCTTCCTCCTATTTGTCCACAGGTCACCAAGGAAATCATTAGCATGGATCCAGACACTGAAAAAGAAGAAAGTGCCACGGGTGATAGTCTCTTTGTGGAAGATGAAAAGGTTCTCTATTGGGAAAAGCAACAGGCAGTGGAGCAAGTTGATGTTAGTACCAAGAAAACACAGAGAGACAAGAAAATGAGCACCATTGATGGAATCCCACAGGAAATTGAGAATGGAGTTCCTACTGAGATAAGCCTATACTCCTCAAAGGACACCACTGGTGAGAGACCACAAATGTCAGCAGAAGATTCTGTGATAAATGAGCCGCTAGAAGTCATGAAGGAAGTTAATAACAGCCCACAGGCCACAGATGCCCTGAACATTTTAGGACCTGAGGCTGCAGATAATACTTATTTGGAGATTCTGCAGGGCACAGAGGAAGCAAATTATATGGGGGAGACCCCACAAAGAGTTGAGGAACTGGTATTTAATACAAAGAGCCCACACGTAGTTAAAGAAGAACTATCTACCAGTGAAAGCTCACAAGCCACAGAAGAAGCAAGGTTCATCGGACTGGAAGCCACAGAAGATGCTGCTAGTGAGATACCACAAGCTGCAGACACTGTATCTGGTGAGAGAAGTCCGTATAACACAGAGGAAGAGAACCTCACTTATGAGAACACACAAGTAGCCACTAGCCCAGAGAGCTCAAAAGAGGATGAAGAAGTGGCCATTGCTATTGGGAGTCTAGAAGCCACTGAAGATGCAAGAGCTGCTGAACAACAGGCTAGTCAGGTTTCACAGGTCACAGGGGAGGAGGTGACCATTGCTGGTGAAAGCCCACAGGATCTGGAGAGTGAGAGTGTGACTTCCAGGAGCTCACAAGCATCAGAGGAAATGGATGTCGCTCCTGAGATCCGAACTGATGTTGCAGAGGATGGAGAGGCACCACAAGCAGAAGAGGAAATTATTTATGACATTCCCTGGGTCACAACTACAGGAAGCTCCCAAGAAGATGATGAAATTGGCCTTATGGGTGAAAATCCACAGAATAGAGAGAAAGCAGGCATAGTTCCTGGGAGCCCACCAACACCAGAGGAGAAAGCAGTTGCTGGTGAAAGCCGAGAGGCCACAGATGAAATGGACAAGAGCTCAGAGATCGCAGAAAAGCAGAGCACTCAGACAGCGTGCCCATCATCCAAAGAGGTAGTAACTGCAGAAAGGGAAAGTCCCCAAGCAGAAGAGGGTGTGCCTGGTGAGCACCCGCCAGTCACAGCTACAGAGAGTCCACAGGGAGAAGAAGGCGTTAGAGTTGCCAATGAGAGGTCTCAGGTGATAGTTCCTGAGGCTGAAGAGGCTGGGTGTGGTAGGAAGCCATTTCAAGACACTAAGCAACATGGGGAAGCCCACTCCAGAAGGCAGGCTGTGACCTTCAGGTGGGGCTTTCTGAAACGAATCCAAGAATTCCCACAGGCATTCTTGCTTCATCTGCAGCCCAGATACCACAGGGGCTATAAACTGACAGGAGGACTTGGAGACCAATCCCAAGCCAAAACGAAATCAGGCCTGCGGAAGAAGCCACCAGTCTTCCGGACTGAACTGCGGCTCCAGGTAGAGCGCGGTGGAAAAATCAGTATTTGTGGGGCTACGAAGAAGCCCCTTCCTTTATTTTCTCCAAAAGCCCATCCCTCTATGGTGATCCCAGAGGGGGGAGGCAAAGGAGGCAGCCAGGAGATGAAACCTGGGAAGTGCCTGGGCAGACCTTCCTATCTTAAAGGAAGGGCATTGAGGCACAAGGCGGTACTGAAATCCACTCTGCATGTACATATGCAGAAGATGGCACCAGAACAGGACTCGGAGATTCCTCTTGAGCCAGAGAAGCATGAACAGAAAGTTCTGTTCCCTGGTGCCACACTGCTCAGCGATTACAATGCAAGCCCTAGATCCAGCCAAGTTCCTGAATCCCGGGGGCTCAGGTCTCTAGACAAAAGCAAAGAGCCAGTTCCATGTACTTGCATTGAAAGATTTATTGGGGATAAATGCAGTATTTCATGGCAGCTCGAATCCAGCCTCCAGGGGATGGTACAGAACAACCAACATCCAGTAGGACCGAGGAAACCTCAGCCTCTAGATATCTCACATGCTACTGCTTCACCCTGTGTGTGCCATACTGCAGTTCTTCAAATAGACACCAAATTTCCATGTGTAATGGGTGCAGATCAAAAGTGTCAGCAGCAACAGGGGGTCCCAAGGGGTGCAATGACCTTCCAGTGTGGGACTGCAGTAAATTATGGAACTCAGGGGTATTTGGATTTGCCTCCTGTGGAAGGCAAAATGGGTATTGATTGCCCCAAGCAGGAAGTCTCAGGGGACAATCTCCTTAAGCCTTCTGAAGTAGCAAGAGATCACTTGCTCAAGACCCACATTGCCCAGAGAGCCTTGGGGTCCTTCATACTTCCTTGCCTTGTCATCTCCTCACACACTGCCTATGAAGACATGGTGGCTGAACTGGTCAAGAAGGCATCCAAAGAACGTCAGGAGAGACTCAGCAGCCAGTTACACAGGAGGAGGGTCAGTTTGGGGATGCCCAAAGAGGAAAGCCAAGGGCTGCCCTTACAGACCCAGGGACATAGAGCTAGTGCAAGGGGGCAGCAAAAGCCATCTGCAGTGGCATATACTCAAGAACCAAGGAGCAGACGGGCCAGCAAATACTCTGATGATATATGTTCAGGCATGGCACCTGCCCCATCTCTCAACACCAATAATAGCTCTCGAGTTCTGCAGGACCAGGAAGACATCCAGTCTGCTGGAGAAAGTAGCAGTGCTTCAAGTGAGAGCTCTGAAGTTTCAGGAGAATCCGAGGCCTCTGGAGACTCGTGTGCATCTTCTTTGGATGCAAACAGTGAATTGCCAGACCCTCCTTCGGATTGGATTCACTTGGAAACCAAAGGTGAGGGTGTAGAAAGAGAGTCTGGGAGCATCTCCATCTTGGTCCCTAAGGATGCTTCTCAGGTGCGGCCAGAGACCCCCTGCAAGCAATGCTACCCGCAAATAGAAGGCCAGTCGCAGTTCAGCAATGTATGCGAGTGGCAAAGAGCAGGAGACTGGGACAGCGACAATGTCCAAGTTGAAGAAGACAATAGAGATCAGAAGGTGGGACAGAGGCCTAAAGATAGATCTTGCCTGAAGTCTGGAGCCATCTTGAGACCCCAGGGAAGGCGTGCCTCTTCCAGTTCCCACAAGGATTCTGACAAGAGGATGTCTATTATTGGCTCAGTCCTGGAGAGGATATTGCACCTAAAGTATGGGATGCACATTTGGTTGCAAAGCCATGGCATAAAGAAAGCTGCCTGGAGAGAAAAGAAGAGGCAAACATTCACCACTGCCAATTGCCCTGAGAAAGAGGACATGTTAAAAGGGGCCGAAGAGTTCAGAGATGCTGAACCTGCTATGGAAGGAGGTGCTGTGCGCTAGACAGGTGGGTGTACACATATTCTGTAGCTCAAACTGATGAAGAGGCCCACAAACCAGAACCCATCTTCCAGAAACATGGTTCATTTCTGGCAGAAAGACAGAGGATCCCATTACAGCCCTGGTATTTCAAGAAGCATCTTCCAGAAGCCCTCCAGAGCACACCATAATGGAAAGAAGAGTATGAGGTCAGAAGAGAAGTTGACGGGGTTGGAACAGGTATGTGGAAACTCCAGCCCATGGGCCTAATTAGGCCAAGCATGTGTACATGCCATTTCCCCCAATCCACATATCAGGTGTGGGGCAGGTACTGGCATGTCCCCACATCTGCTTCCACAACCCTCATTTGCAGTTGGACTGTGACATTCTGTGGATTCCCTCCCAACACACAACCTACAAGAAGGTCCTTTCGAAGGTCAGGGGAATTCCAGGGCTTGCCAAACCCTGGTGAATAGTTTGGGTTTTGTTTTGTTTTGTTTTTTATTTAAGTGTTTTCCCAAGGTTTAAAACATATAAGTTTTAATTACCAGCAGCTGCACCCCTCCAAGGTTTTCCAATTTATCCTTATTCTGCTGCATAGCATTCTTGATTTGTTTTGTTCTTAATGAGCTGTAGGGGAGTTTCTTCTGTAAGAAATAATGTTGGTTGCTTTCTTTGCTTTAATAAACCTCCATTTTGTTAACATGGGATGCCTTGGCTAGTATTCTTGGGAATGGTCCTGTAGTGGTAGCTCAACCTTCTCCAACCAGATGACCTTCAGTTATTTGGACTACATGTTTGTGCTGCCTGAAGATGATGAGAAATATAGTCCAAGCCATATAGCAGACATGAGGCTGTTCTCCAAGGTAGCCATTTTCCCAACTGACTTTCATCATACCTATCCATTCTCCTAAATTCAGGCGTACTTTTTATCTCTGCCAATGTTTCCCAAGCTTGGTTCTCCAGCTGGTTTTGGACCACAGTTCCTATCATCCCTGACCATTTGTCCTGCTAGCTAGGGATGGTGGGAGTCGTAGTCGGAAAAAACAGCTGGAGACCCAAGTTTGGGAAACCCTGATCTGTGCGCAGAGATATAGATATACAGTGGAGGCTCGGCTTGCAAACGTGAACCATGTGGGATGCACGTTTGCTGCCTGTAGCATTCGCAACCCGCATGTGCGTAGATGCGGGTTGCGACTCGGCACTTCTGCACATGCGCAAAGTGTGATTAAGCGCTTCTATGCATGCAAGACCGCCGAAACCCAGAAGTAACCCATTCTGGTACTTTCGGGTTTCGGCAGTCCGTAACCTGAAAAAACACAACCTGAAGCATCTGTAACCCAAGGTATGACTGTAACTATAAATATCCCCAATGCTAGAAGCACATAGATACAGAAAGAAACATATTTTCAGCATTTTGTTTTATTTATTGACTCCAAACAACAAATGGGAATGACACCCCAATCCTCAAAAAAGTTGTGTTCTGCATGAGGAAGATCCCGGGTTCAAGCCCCAGCATCTCTAGGTAGAACTCGGAAAGGACTCCTATCTGAAATTCTGGAGAGCCAGCTGCTGGTGTTTAGGGTAGACAATACTAAGCTAGATGCACCAATGGACCGACTCAGCTTCCTAAGTGCCTGCATTTGTGCCTTGGACTTAAGCTGAATAAAGACATCTCTGCCTTGACCCATCCCTTCCTCTTGCTCTCAGTCACTCAGTAGATATCTAGAGCAGGGAGATTTTTGTAAGTGTCTGTATCATTGTGGGAACTACGCACAGTGATTTCCCTCCATACCAATACCACCGTCAGCCACTGAAAGCTCTGTGTTTCGCTTTTGAGCTCAAGGAGGTGTCTCACATTGACAGAACATTTTGAACACAATTTGAAAAAGAGCTTCTGCAAAACAAAGAAAAAAACTTTTTATTTAAAATGTACAATCTCTTATTAGACTGGGAAACAAAAGACAAGCTTGTCAAAGCCTCTTTGACACACTGGACAATAGATATAGGACATAATACAGATTTTAATCTCTGGGGGGAAACTTTGGGAAAACAATTTGAAGTTTACAGCATGTTATTCCTTGAAGGAGAACTACTTGCAAATGATTTGCAGATGGCATTTAACTCCAAGTAGGCTTGCTAAGATGTATAAGACAGAATCAGATAAGTGCTGGAGATGCAATGAGATTGAGGGAATGTTCTTTCATATGTGGTGGACCTGTAAAAGGGTAAAAGAGTTTTGGGAAATAATTCATAATGAATGGGGGGGGAATATTTAAAAGTACCTTTCCAAAAAAACCAGAGTCCTTCTTGTTGTGGGTAATTCAGAGTGAGATTCCCAGGTGTCAAAAAAGGTTATTTATGCATGCTACTACTGCGACCCATGTTTCGTTAGCCCAAAAATGGAAAACAGGCAAGGTCCCAACTAAAGAATAATGGCAACTTAAGCTGATGGAATATGTGTATATAAGTTTTGATGGATGTAATAATGGGATACTGAACTGAACTGGTTTAGTTTATGTAAAATATGCAGGTTTTTATGATACGCAAAATGAACTATAGAAAGAGAAGAAGGGAAGTCATTGATATTTAAGGCTGTTTAAATGAGTATTTTAAACTGTAAAACAGAAAACTTCCCAGAATTATTTGGGGAAAGCTACAGCTGTTTAAAGTGGCATGATATAGCTTTAAATATACAGTGGTATCTCGGGTTAAGTACTTAATTCATTCCGGAGGTCCGTTCTTAACCTGAAACTGTTCTTAACCTGAAGCACCACTTTAGCTAATGGGGCCTCCTGCTGCCGCCGCACTGCCGGAGCATGATTTCTGTTCTCATCCTGAAGCAAAGTTCTTAACCCGAAGTAATATTTCTGAGTTAGTGCAGTCTGTGACCTGAAGCGTATGTAACCTGAAGCGTATGTAACCCGAGGTACCATTGTATAGTACAGATGGGGCCTAAGATATAAGATATCACCTTTAAAAGGGAAATGCAATGCTGGATGGATGAGAACAGACTAGGAAAATGTGATTAACAAAAAACAAAAACAAAACAAAGCCTTGAGAGCTGGGGAAAGACATGTGACAGGGAAATATGATATCTGACAATACCTGGAGATTAGATTCATTTGAGAGAGAGAGAGAGAGTCTGCACAATTCAGTAAAAACCTGAAAGGGTTTTGAGTTCACTGTAGACAAAAGTTTGTGATTTCCCAAAGAGGCTTGATCCCATTATCCAGTGCAGTGAATGACTGCATTTTATTTCTATCAGAACTGCCCTTCTTGTTATGTGCCAGCAGGTGGCAGCATTTCATAACAAAAGCATAGTTTATGGCGCTGTATTTCCACAGAGGTCCAGGTAGATTGTGAGTCCATTTGCCCTATTCCCATAGCTGCTTGGAAGCGATGCAAAAGTCCTTGTAGAAGCTCCTATCCATGTCAGCCTGTCCCAAGGCCACCGTGCAGATGACTGCCAACCACGGAAGTCAGCTCTAATGGAGCTTTTGTCACACATGCACCAACTCTTCCCATTTACCTGAGACTGGTCTGCTTTCTCATGCTTCTCTCTAGTAAATCACTGTCCCAATCCTGCCTAAGGTGACCTGGGCGACGCCTCGTAAATGGAGATATATGCACAGAAGTGAACCTTGGCTTCCCTTCCTTTCTTGGAATGTGTTTGTTTCTTTTATTCATATCGCAGAATCATAGAATTGCACAGTTGGAAGGTACCTTGAGGATCATCTTGTCCAACTCCCTACAGGTAAAAGGTAAAGGACCCCTGGACAGTTAAGTCCAGTCAAAGGCGTCTATGGGGTTGTGGCGCTCATCTCACTTTCAGGCCAAGGGAGCCGGCGTTTGTCCACAGACAACTATCCAAGTCATGTGGTCAGCATGACTAAACTGTTTTTGGTGCAATGGGACACCGTGACGGAAGCCAGAGCACATGGAAATGCCATTTACCTTCCCGCCAAAGTGGTACCTATTTGTCTACTTGCAGTGGTGTGCTTTCGAACTGCTAGGTTGGCAGGAGCAGGGACAGAGCAACGGGCGCTCACCTCGCCGCAGGGATTTGAACTTCTGACCTTCTGATCAGAGGCTCAGTGGTTTAGACCACAGCACCACCCACGCCCAATGCAGGGATATGCAGCTGTCCTCATATGGGGATCAAATCTGCAACGTTGGCGTTATCAGCACCACTCTTTAACCAACTGAGCTATCCAGTAACATTGAAATTTTAAAGTTGCATTTTTTATATATATTTTAAGTAAGAGGGTGGGCCAGGGGAGGAGGTATGGGGTGGCATCATGGGAAAGGAGTAAGCAGGGCAAAGGGTAGGGTAGGTTCAGAGACAACAGGAAGATATCAACTGGACAGTGCCAGGAGTCTCCTGAAGTCTGGTACCAGCCCTGATTGTAGCCAACTATGTCACACCCTCCAACATTCCTCAGATGAAAATAAGGACATTTCTCAATCCCCCACAACTAACCCTCCTCAAGCCCACATTCCACTCCTGCCCCCAGAGAGAATTTCATTTCCCCCTCCCCCCCCTTTTGATAATTTTATTTATTTGGTTTTTCAAATTAGAATTTTACAATCACATATCCAACATACAACATAAAAACAAGATTCCAAAGAATCTCTTGGACTTCCCTCCTCCCCTTTGTGGGTCCTATTATTAATCATTTCCTCCTGCATCTTTTATAATAATCCAGACCTTTTACATCTCTATTCTATCCAAAATTCACCATTTCTCTACAAGTGTTATTCCAATCCTGCTGACGGTTTTAACTGTTTACAATGGTTTTTAAGGTAAGTTCTAAATTTCCCCCATTCCTCATTAAAAGTTTGGTCTTCCTGATTTCGGATCCTTCCAGTCGTTTTGGCGTAGTCCAGCAACTTAATCTGTCATTTTTTCTGGTCGGGTCCAGAGAGCATTTCCTATCAGAAGAGGGGCGAGTCCCACTACCACTACCTCAGTGGGACCCAGCACACACACCCTCCACCATCTTGAGAAAATCCCTTAATCCTGATTTTATTTTATTCTTTGGCAGATTTACAAAAAGAAAAACACACACCAATCAATGGATTTTAGAAAGGGGCAAGATTAGATGTGTGCGCAGCGGCAGAGCAAGCTGATTGGGCAGCTGGAGCGGCGTGCGTGCCCTGCGGCTAGGGGCGGAGCCAGCTGCTGTGGGGGCGGGGGCAGCCAGGGCAGGATGCTCCATAGGGCCTCTGAGGAGTCTGCCTGCCTCCTCCCACTTGGCCGCCCTACAACTGAGGGGGAGGCAGCAGGCAGAACGTTTGGGGCAGCGTGGAGCCTGCGGGCGCCCAAGCCACTGCGTCACTCCCAGGAGAGATGTGTGGCTCGGGTGCGCTGGGGGCCCCATGGTGAGTGCCGCCCAGCATTTTGTCATACCCCTCAGTGGAGACACGTGGGGTGGACTGCCCCCCACCGCAGCCCCCTTCCTCCGCCCCTGCGTGTAGGCACAAAACATTTTTTTAAAGGCTCCTTGCGCTCCGCTCTGCTTCCCCTTTCTTCCTGCCCAGGGCAGCCTTGTCCTCTGCCTGTCCCTCTTCGCCTGCTCTCCAGAAACCACTACAAGCTGCCCAAGGGAGGAGGCCAGCAGCAGTAGCCATGGAGAGGCAACAGCATGGTCCTTTGCTGCCATCACCACTCGGGACAAGCACAGGCGCATCCTACTCCCT